TATGGGATTGTGACAAGTGTCCCCAACCGCGCTTTCAGCGCCTCAGCATTCAGCTGACTTCCTTCCATCGTGGAGCGTTAAGCATAATTGTTCGACGCCCCGGAATCGATGTGGATCTTCCATGGCTCCTCGAAGCCATTTACGGTCGACTCCACGACCAGCAAGCTCGGCTTGCATACACGTTCCGTGTCCAAGAGCACGGAGCTCTTCGGGGCTGAGTCCTGCTGACCTATGCCTCCCTGAGGCTCAACAAAACTCAGTTCTTCCCGAGTAGGTCGCTTCGCGCCTACTGGGTGGTGTCGTTTCCCCGCGACGAACCAGACTGGTAGAAGTGGGGCGATTGCTCGAAGAACCTTGACGTGCCTTGCGCCGGGGGCAACCGTTCCGAAGATGACGAGTGTCTCCATAGACAAAACACCGTCGTGTGTTTGTGTGCTACCCGGCAGCTCGGGGCTCTGCTCCCTTGTCCTCAGCATAGCTGAAATCCATGGGCACAGACCCGCTCGACGAGCTGTTGGAGTGTGCATTCCAACCAAGTCGTGCAGACTTGAAATCGAACCCGGCATTCAATGCCACATTCAACCACTTCAAATGAAGATGGATGCACACGGAAGACTTCCATTCTCGCCATACCAGTGCGGAGGCCTTCGATAATGACGGTCACTGTGATCGCCTCAGAAGGAGGATCTGCTGCCATCCCGGCAATGAGACTACGCATCTCTTTGACAAAGTCCGCCAATTTCTTGTTGCCCTGTGGGGCGGCAAGGAAACGCGCTAGCACGCGATATGCCTGGTTAGGCAGCGAGAACTCTCGTGAGAGCTGCAATTTCAGCTCCTCCCAGGAGAAAAACGCAGCTTCGACCGAAGCGCCGCACGCCAGTGCCCATTCTCGTGCTCGACCACCGAGCTTTGAGATGGCTAGCGCCAAGCGCTGTTGCTCGGTCTGGACCAGGGCGGATGCGATGGCCAGCTCGACCTCTCTCACCCAGAGCAGGAGATTCTCTCCATCCTTCCCCTCAGAGACCTTAACGCTCACCATGAGCGGCTAAGGCGGGAAAAATCATCCGTCACTGACGGTGGGGTCATAGACGCAAATGATGCAGACATCTTCTGCTGCAGGTGCTCTAGCAGCGCGCGTTCGTAAATTGAAAACGCCTATGGATGCGAACCGATTGCCTTGGGGCCTTGCGCAGCAAGGTGTTGCACGCCCTCAGGGCCAAGCAAGAACATCAGCTTGTTTAGCCCGTCCTGCATGCTCTGGGGCAAAGAGAAAAATTGATCCACCCTCCAGAGGATCAGTCGTAAGGACTCAGGTGTGGATTGACTACAAGTGCTACCAAGTGCAGCGGGGCTGCCGTAGGAAGCGTAATTTAGGTCACCGACCTTTCGTTCTATACTTAGAACAAGTACGAGTTTAGCGGATCGCAA